ATTGTTATTCTAAAACTAATTTCATATACACATCTAAAAACTATCTATGACTCCACTATAGGATACATCAAAGTATTTTCATTTTTTGAAGGCCTTTACTTCAAGGTTTACTTGATGTACACATCAAAAGACTATCAGTGACTCTACTATATTTTAGGAAAATCTATGACAAAGTGGAAAATGTTTTATGTGACATATTTTGTCCTTTAGGATTTCATTGAACTAAAGTAATGCTTATGTTGATATAACTATATATGGGCATAAAGGAGAGAGGACACTAAAATTTAAATTTTTTTATTATCTCCACTATATTATTATTATTATTATTATTATTATCAGAAGTATTTTCATTTTTTTTAGGGCATTGACTTCAATGATTATTTCATGATCACATATAAAGACAATCTGTGACTCAACTATATTATTAGTATTATTATTGTATATTCCAAATTCAGATTCAGGGGCTCCTTAATCCTGTCAGAGTAACCCCTCCCTGATTGACCATGTCTTCAGGGGTATAGCTGTACTCACCATGCTTGGTCAATTGTGGGTTGGTGAGGCTTTATTTAACCTAGAGTTAGGGTGGATGCCCATTGATTCTGAGGATTTCATCTGCCCTTTCACAACTCATTTTTTATGCAGCTGGGATTCCACTTATTCTCCCCACCAGACCAGAGTCTGGAGGGGGGAGCTAGTTTAGTTACCAATCCTTCAAGTATTTTGAATTCAGAGTTATTCTTCTCCTAGACCAGTTACCACCCAAGGGTATGGGACCCAATATGTCCTGATATTTACCCATAGCTGGGGAGAGAGAAAAGATGGATTCATACTTATCCCAAGGGTATTGACTACCAAGTGAATCTAATGAACTCTGCAAATGGAGGTAACATCTTCTTGTTTAAGGAGATGTCTTATCTTCTTTTTGTCTAATGGATTCCTACCTTTTCCAAGTGCATTTATACAAAAATGAGAGCAACAGACTTGATAGGATTTCAAAATCATCTCACTTTTCATGTCAATAAACATTACACTACCTGAATGTTATATAGGTAACAAAATTTGAAATCAAAACCTTTGATCTTTTAATCAAATATATTTTCTTGTAGATTCATCAGGTGATTCATCTTGCAAAGTAAAGGCACCTCATTATGCCACTTCTTAAGTTGAAAAAATAAAATAATTAAATTATCAATTAGGAATTTGAGGAGAGATATACCATTATTAATTTTTAATCAAATTCACCCCAAGCAAGGCAGTAAAGCCACTAAAATACAAGGGGTTACTGGGTGTATGTTGTAACCTAGGGAAGGTTACTGAATAGAATAATCACATGAAAGTTGATAATGAACGATAATACTTAGGACAAGAACAACACATATAAGATTCACCAGCGGTGCATAGAAGTAGTCAACTGCTAGAAGTGAGTCAAATGAATTCTACAATGAGTCTCCAACTGCAGACTAACGTACAGTATTTACTACTGTATTTATGCGAATGAGGACATACCCATTATTATCTGTAGGTATGCTACAACAGTGTGAAAGAATTAGAAAACAGAAACATTAAGGAGCAAGAACAATAAAAGAGTGATCAGGAAGACAATAGATAATAATTAAGATTGCATTTAAATTTTTGAAAATAAAACTTGTGTCGAAAGCAAGAAGTTGGAAGAGAGTTCCACAAGCGAGAAGTGAGAGAAAAGAAACTGTTAGCATACAACTTATGGATGCATCTAGCCAATTCAACTGTAAAATGATGAGACTTTGTTGCCAGTCTAATACTGCACTTAAAAAGCATAGCAAAGAGCTCATCCGAACAATTACCATGAAAGTATTTATAGAAAAGGCACAGGGAAGCAATTTTATGGTGGTGGAAAAATGACTGAAGCTGAGATGCTAGTTCAGGACTAATAATATTGCAGATTTTTTTTGGATTTTATCAAGAATCTCTAAATATATAGCAGGAGCACTGGATCATATATGGCAGTAATATTCTAAGTATGAATGCATGGTAAACTTATAGGTATGTAAAATAGATTATGGAGAGAAAAATTGTCTTGCATGATACAGTTAATGAATGTTCTAAGCAGCAGACCTAGCAATGGACTCAATATAGTCTTTCCACTTTATGACAGCGAAGAATGTTAACCAGGAAAGGATGCAACGAGTCACTCACTTGGAGATGAGCATCAGTCATACTGATGGAAGGCAGAAAGGGGTATTTCAGACGATTAATAGAGAGCAATTTTGTTTTGGAGGTGTTAAAATTAACAAGCCATTCTTTGCCCCAGTTAACAACAGACTGTAGGTTATCTTTTTAGATCAGCCACCAATTTGATCTTATCAAACTGGTCAGACTTACTGTTGAGACAAGAGTTAATTAGTTTTGGGATGGAGCTAAAAATTTATAAATTAAGACTTTTTTTAGGGATGTCAATATTGTCCTCAGTTACTGCAAAGAGATAAACTATAGTGTTACCACACATTCATTTCTCAAGTCAACTATTTGATTTTTCATTGTATTTTCCTTCAATCTTTCAGTTATGACTTGTGGCAAAATGAATTTAATTTCTGTCTCAAAGCAAAAGACGAATAACTAATTTCAGCTGTTAATTGCTTATCTAAAATAGAGTGATAATTAATACATACACCAGCAGTTATGTCCCTAGGTGGGTTATTTGAGCCATAAGATTTTTTTTTTATCCTTCCCTGCCATGTCTTTAATAATTTTGTTTATACTTCATGTCCCATGGCCTTCGGTTTTGTAGATTTTTTTTCCAAACATTTTTAAAGGTTTCTCAACACCAAAAAAAAAAATATCATGCTTTTATGGTGGCGCTATAAATAGAAGAGAAAGACGAGAGTTAATCATTTAATGACTGGTAGCAGTCACTCCATGTCCAATCATTCAAATCTCAGAAGACAAGAGAGGTGAGGCAAAGCAGCAGACAGATTATTCTTTTCTAAACTGAGTTCATTTAGGATAACAGAAAATATATATATATATATATATATATATATATATATATATATATATATGTAAAATTGGACACTGAGATCAGCACCAAGTAGCAACAGTCTGTTTCATGCTTGAACACAATCTTCAGGCTATGTATGCATGTGTGTGTTTGTTTTGTTCTATGGCATATCAACCACAATGGGTTATTTAATGGCGACAATTTTTTTTGCTGCTAATATTTTTTCCTTTGAAAATGTATTGCTGATAATATTTTTTCTTCAAAAATGTATCTCTAATAATAATTTTTTACAAAGTATTTCTGGTATTAAAACCTATTTTTACACTTTCATAGTGTGTTTGACCCCAGTTTGGGGGTTAACTATTTGCCCATAGTTGGGACCCTAACAGATGCTACCACCCCGGGTCAAGATGAACCTGGAGACACCAGCAATTAACAGGTGGTTCCACGCTCCTCAAAATCTTTTGATCAGAGGCCTTGCTGTTGGATGTAGTTTATTGTCATACCCAGGATGGGTATGTGTGTCTGCATATATATATATATATGTGTGTGTGTGTGTGTGTGCGCGTGTGTGTATCAGATAGGAAATAAATAACAAGGTGTTTTTAAGAGTCGGGCACCTATTTATTTTTGTCTAATTGAGTTAGGAGAGTTTTTCTGTTGACATAAGATTGAATGTAACCTTATAAACTTATTCCTTATTTTCTTCCTAATCACCTGGAACCACCATATTATTACTGTTAATGAGCATGTAGCTGACTGGTTATAACATTTGATTTCTAACCAGGAGACCCGGGTTCGAATCTCACAGGGGTTTATTTGTCAGGAAGGTGACTTCTTGATGTTATTGATCTGGAGGAGGCAATCTCAGCCTGCAGCAACTTTTGGAAAGTGCCTGAAAACCATACCATGGGTTGACCCCATGCCTTATGAGTGAAATTGGGTAGACAAAACCCTTTGGGAGCCATTGATGGTTGTGCTAGCATAAAGTCACAAGTCATCGGGAATGAGGGTTTGAGCATGCTGGCCTTGTTCAGACAGCTGATTATACTAGATAATGCGCTCTCTTTCTCAGAAAATGTAACTAAGGTCAACTCAGCATAGTTTCAGTATAAACCACAGGTGGGCTCTCCAGAGGGTTGAATAAAATAAAAATGCGCCTGAACAGGAGTCTACCACAGGGACTGACTAGCTGCCCTAGCAGATGGGCATCCTCAGATACAAGTGGCCATCCATCCATTTGATAGTTTGCTTACAACAACAGGAACAGTATTGGAAATATTCAAGTCTGAAAATATTTTGACTTGTGTTGAGAAAAAAATCTTCAATTGATTAAGGTAGTTATATGATATATTGGTGCATGGTGCGTACACATACACACATATATGTATGTATGTATGTATGTATGTTGTCTTTCTGAAAATCTCATCAGAACTAAGATAGATGTGTAAGAAATTTCTTACAGAAAGTTGAAAATATTCACACCCTTCTATTGAAAGTGTTAGAATTAAACCAAAATTGTTTTATCTTGAAAGAATTCAGATGTTTTGCACAATCAAATATCAAATTCAGGTTGAAGGACTAATCCCTAATTTCTTATTCTTGGCTCAAGTTCTCTTCTTCCTTTTTTTCTTCTTCTTTTTTGTATTCAGTCCTTTAAGAAAAACACACACACAAAAAAAAACAATGTCTGAAACAATGCTCATCCATTCAAACTGATGAACTTTGTAAAAATGCTGCAAAGACTGACTATAATAGGATAATGCATTTCCTTTGATGTTCCTCATACATTACACACCTTTGATAGAAATTGGGTTGAAAGCATTTCTTCTCATTAACAATGCAGCCAACCAATAAAAGCAACTTTGAATTCCTCATGGCTTTATTTACTGTCATCCAGGTTTTAAATATTCTGTACACGACATCTGCTCTGCCAAAACACAAAGATATGCTGACTTAATTATATTACTAAGTGCATGTTTATCTATACAACTGAAATCATATTTTTGGTTTTGTATTAAAACTAAACTATACTTACTAATTTGTTTTGAACCCCAATTCTGATTCTTAAAGCCCCACCATGACTAAGAGAGAGAATAGGTATAAGGGTAACAAGGCTACAAAGATTTATAACAAAAGCTGATCGGGGGAAATGAATGTGTAGAGAGATAGAGAGAGATAAGATGATCAACAGACTGAGAGAGAGAAAGGGAGGGAGAGAAATAAATTGGCTGAATGTAAGATAAATGGTCCAAAAGAAAGAGAGAGAAAGAAAGAAAGAAGAAAAATGGGCTGGGAGAAAATGGAAAAAGGAATGGGCTGAGAGGGAGAAAGGAAACTGAGTGGGCCAAGAGAGAGGGAAAAAATAGGAAGATGAAGGATGTGAAAGAGAAAAAGGGAAATGAATGAGCTGAGAGAGAGAGAGGGAGGTGAAAGAGCCAAAAGAGAAAGAAGGGAATGAATGAGCCAAAAGAGAGAGAGAGGGGGTGAAAGAGCCAAGAGAGAGAAGGAAATGAATGAACCAAGAGAGATAGAGGGGGGAATGAATGAACCAAGAGAGATAGAGGGGGGAATGAATGAACCAAGAGAGATAGAGGGGGAATGAATGAACCAAGAGAGATAGAGGGGGAATGAATGAACCAAGAGAGATAGAGGGGGAATGAATGAACCAAGAGAGATAGAGGGGGGAATGAATGAACCAAGAGAGAGAGAGGGGGGAATGAATGAACCAA